GTGTGTGTGTGTGTGTGTGTGTGTGTGTGTGTGTGTGTGTGTGTGTGTGTGTGTGTGTGTGTGCGTATATGTGTGTGTGTGTGTGTGTGTGTGTGTGTGTGTGTGTGTGTGTGTGTGTGTGTGGTGTGTGTGTGTGGTGTGCGTGTATGTGTGTGTGTGTGTGGAGTGAGTGTGTGTGTGTGTGTGAGCGTGTATGTGTGTGCGCGTGTGTGTGTATGTGTGCGTATATGTGCGTGTGTGTGTGTCTGCTTCTGCTGCAAACTTATTTAAGCTTAACAACTTGGATTAGATGAGGATTCTCAATAAGCTGTAAATCCCTCCACAGGATGGAATTCTAGTCTGGGCTTTTAGTATTTTATAGAAAACAGTTTGAAAAATGACGAAAAATTGAATAAGAAATAATCGACATTTTTTAAATGTATTTATATTTTTAACTCAATCTTTTTTCAATTTTCTTTTTAATCACGTTTTTAAAATTAACTATTTTGAGTTAGTTAGAACTCAATAGGAGGAGTTAGATGTTGACTAGGGATGAAAAATAGGGAAAAAAGGGAATTGCAAACTATCTATAATGACCCATGAGAGGTAGCTCCGATGAATCACCTGTCAACCTCATTCATGTATGTGTTGCGCCTACACTTGAAACACATCACGGATTCATTTGTAGAGTCGCTAGGAATGAGGTGTCGTGTTCGGGTTCCTGCTACTGGGGCTTTGTTCCGTGTAGAGTAGGTAAATATTGGGTTTGAAATAGTCAGAGAAAATTTCGGAAAATGAATAGTTTTCTCAAGAGTGAATGAGTGACGCGAGTTACACAAATACACATACACACACACATATATATATACACACACACACACACATATATACACACACACACACACACACACACACACACACTCACACTCACACACACACGCACGCACGCACGCACACACACACACACACACACACGCACGCACACAAACACACACAAGGTTCAGAGGTTTGCAACGAGACTCGTCCCAGAGCTACGAGGGATGGGGTATGAGGAGCGCCTGAGGGAACTGTGCCTTACGACACTAGAAAGAAGAAGTGAGAGGGGGGACATGATTGGAACGTATAGAATACTCAGGGAGATTGACAGAGTGGACATAGACGAAATGTTCACACGGAATAGTAACAGAACGAGGGGACATGGGTGGAAGCTGGAAGCTCAGATGAGTCACAGAGATGTTAGGAAGTTTTAGCGTGAGAGTAGTGGGAAAATGGAATGCACTTCAGGAACAGGTTGTGGAAGCAAATACTATTCATAACTTTAAACTAGGTATGATAGGGAAATAGGACCGGAGTCATTGCTGTAAACATCCGATGCTCGAAAGGCGGGATCCAAGAGTCAGTGCTCGATCCTGCAGACACTAATAGGTGAGTACACACACACACACACACACACACACACACACAACACACACACACACACACACACACACACACACACACACACATACACACACATACACACACACACACACACACACACACACACACACACACACAGGCCAGTGTCCTTGACTTGTATACCATGCAAGGTGATGGAGAAGATCGTGAGAAAAAACCTGGTAACACATCTGGAGAGAAGGGACTTCGTGACAAATCGCCAACATGGGTTCAGGGAGGGTAAATCTTGCCTTACAGGCTTGATAGAATTCTACGATCAGGTGACAAAGATTAAGCAAGAAAGAGAGGGCTGGGCGGACTGCATTTTCTTGGATTGTCGGAAAGCCTTTGACACAGTACCGCATAAGAGGCTGGTACATAAGCTGGAGAGACAGGCAGGTGTAGCTGGTAAGGTGCTCCAGTGGATAAGGGAGTATCTAAGCAATAGGAAGCAGAGAGTTACGGTGAGGGGTGAGACCTCCGATTGGCGTGAAGTCACCAGTGGAGTCCCACAGGGCTCTGTACTCGTCCTATCTTGTTACTGATATATGTAAATGATCTCCCGGAGGGTATCGATTCATTTCTCTCAATGTTTGCGGACGATGCTAAAATTATGAGAAGGATTAAAACAGAAGAGGACTGTTTGAGGCTTCAAGAAGACCTAGACAAGCTGAAGGAATGGTCGAACAAATGGTTGTTAGAGTTTAACCCAACCTAATGTAATGTAATGAAGATAGGTGTAGGGAGCAGGAGGCCAGATACAAGGTATCATCTGGGAGAGGAAATTCTTCAGGAGTCAGAGAAGGAAAAAGACTTGGGGGTTGATATCACGCCAGACCTGTCTCCTGCAGCACATATCAAGCGGATAACATCAGCGGCATATGCCAGGCTGGCCAACATACGAACGGCATTCAGAAACTTGTGTAAAGAATCATTCAGAACTTTGTATACCACATATGTCAGGCCAATCCTGGAGTATGCAGCCCCAGCATGGAGTCCATATCTAGTCAAGGATAAGACTAAACTGGAAAAGGTTCAAAGGTTTGCCACCAGACTAGTACCCGAGCTGAGAGGAATGAGCTACGAGGAGAGACTACGGGAATTAAACCTCACTTCGCTGGAAGACAGAAGAGTTAGGGGGGACATGATCACCACATTCAAGATTCTGAAGGGAATTGATAGAGTAGATAACGACAGTCTATTTAACACAAGGGGAACACGCACAAGGGGACACAGGTGGAAACTGAGTGCCCAAATGAGCCACAGAGATATTAGAAAGAACTTTTTTAGTGTCAGAGTGGTGGACAAATGGAATGCATTAGGAAGTGATGTGGTGGAGGCTGACTCCATACACAGTTTCAAGTGTAGATATGATAGAGCCCGATAGGCTCAGGAATCTGTACACCTGTTGATTGACGGTTGAGAGGCGGGACCAAAGAGCCAGAGCTCAACCCCCGTAAGTACAACTAGGTGAGTACAAACTAGTACACACCCAATTACCGCCGAAGTTAATCAGGAAAAATAGTTTATAACCAATTACATTTCCTTGTAGTAAATGTTACTTGAGTCTATTTGGTCAGCCTATTTAAACTTTTTTTATTATTATTATTTTACCGTAAAACTAATTACCTGGGAGATAATTAGTCCGATCAGCAGATTTGTTGCCGAGTTTGACTTCTCGTCAGGTCGTAGTTTATATGGACCAGGTCGTAGTTTATATGGGCCAGGTCGTAGTTTATATGGGTCAGGTCGTAGTTTATATGGGCCAGGTCGTAGTTTATATGGGTCAGGTCGTAGTTTATATGGGTCAGGTCGTAGTTTATATGGGCCAGGTCGTAGTTTATATGGGCCAGGTCGTAGTTTATATGGGCCAGGTCGTAGTTTATATGGACCAGGTCGTAGTTTATATGGGTCAGGTCGTAGTTTATATGGGCCAGGTCGTAGTTTATATGGGCCAGGTCGTAGTTTATATGGGTCAGGTCGTAGTTTATATGGGCCAGGTCGTAGTTTATATGGGCCAGGTCGTAGTTTATATGGGTCAGGTCGTAGTTTATATGGGCCAGGTCGTAGTTTATATGGGTCAGGTCGTAGTTTATATGGGCCAGGTCGTAGTTTATATGGGTCAGGTCGTAGTTTATATGGGTCAGGTCGTAGTTTATATGGGTCAGGTCGTAGTTTATATGGGCCAGGTCGTAGTTTATATGGGTCAGGTCGTAGTTTATATGGGCCAGGTCGTAGTTTATATGGACCAGGTCGTAGTTTATATGGGCCAGGTCGTAGTTTATATGGACCAGGTCGTAGTTTATATGGGCCAGGTCGTAGTTTATATGGGCCAGGTCGTAGTTTATATGGGCCAGGTCGTAGTTATATGGGCCAGGTCGTAGTTTATATGGACCAGGTCGTAGTTTATATGGGCCAGGTCGTAGTTTATATGGACCAGGTCGTAGTTTATATGGGCCAGGTCGTAGTTTATATGGGCCAGGTCGTAGTTTATATGGGCCAGGTCGTAGTTTATATGGGCCAGGTCGTAGTTTATATGGACCAGGTCGTAGTTTATATGGGCCAGGTCGTAGTTTATATGGACCAGGTCGTAGTTTATATGGACCAGGTCGTAGTTTATATGGGCCAGGTCGTAGTTTATATGGGCCAGGTCGTAGTTTATATGGGCCAGGTCGTAGTTTATATAGCCCAGGTGTATTTTGTCTGTAACAAACCGATAGTCACCAAGGTGTGAATGTATATCAGTTCTCTCATTGTATTTTTATGTATTTCAGTAAACAGTTTTGTACTCTGCCATTATGATTGTATTCTGTATCTCTTATCTATAAACTGTAAGTGTTATCTTCCCTCCACCAATCACCAACCACGAGTAACCATCACCGGTGCACTCATCGCAAACAACGCACCAGTGCACACAAACAACGCACCAGTGTACACAAACAACGCACCAGTGTACACAACGCACCAGTGTACACAACGCACCTGTGTACACAAACAACGCACCAGTGCACACAAACAACGCACCAGTGTACACAACGCACCAGTGTACACAACGCACCAGTGCACACAAACAATGCACCAGTGTACACAACGCAACCCGTTCTCGCAAATTCGTAAAGTCAATATTGACTTATTAACTATGTGCATAGGTGATATACTAAACATAATAGATACCCTTAAAAAGATTCATAGAAAACACCGACCTTACCTAACCTTGTTAGTATCTTAAGATAAGCATCTTATTGCTTCGTAATTACAATTATTACTTAACCTATACCTATTATAGGTTAGGTAATAATTGTAATTACGAAGCAATAAAATGCTTATCTTAAGATACTAACAAGGTTAGGTAAGGTCGGTGTTTTCTATGAATCTTTTTAAGGGTATCTATTATGTTAAGTATGTCACCTATGCACATATTTAATAAGTCAATATTGACTTATTAAATTTGCGAGAACGGGTTGACACAACGCACCAGTGTACACAACGCACCAGTGTTCACAATGCACCAGTGCACACAACGCACCAGTGTTCACAACGCACCAGTGTACGCCAATAACGAAGCGTTGTCTGTCTCCCGCCAGAGCCGCCCCGCAGTGTACAGATCTTGGACAGGCAAGCCGGCCCGGCCAAGAACGGCGTCCTTGGCCCATACTACATCGGCCAAAATATTCTCCTCACCTGTATCTCACTTGACGGTAGGTGTCTCACCCTCTCTCTCTCTCACTTGACGGTAGGTGTCTCACCCTCTCTCTCACTTGACGGTAGGTGTCTCACCCTCTCTCTCTCTCACTTGACGGTAGGTGTCTCACCCTCTCACTTACTTGACGGTAGGTGTCTCACCCTCTCTCTCACTTGACGGTAGGTGTCTCACCCTCTCTCTCTCTCTTACTTGACGATAGGTGTCTCACCCTCTCTCTCACTTGACGGTAGGTGTCTCACCCTCTCTCTCACTTGACGGTAGGTGTCTCACCCTCTCTCTCTCTCTTACTTGACGATAGGTGTCTCACCTGTATCTCACTTGACGGTAGGTGTCTCACCCTCTCTCTCACTTGACGGTAGGTGTCTCACTCTCTCTCTCACTTGACGGTAGGTGTCTCACCCTCTCTCTCACTTGACGGTAGGTGTCTCACTCTCTCTCTCACTCGTGGACCAGACCATTCTCATCCCCCTAAATTTATTTTTAGAAGATTTAGAAGCTTGTGTATAATCTAGATTTGGAAGCTCGTGTATAATTTAGATTTAGAAACTTGTGTATAATCTAGATTTAGAAGCTCTTCAATGATTCTAAAAAACCATTAAGAGTTCTGGCAACAGACAAGTAATTATAGAGCAATTATATTTATGCAAAATGTATAATTTCAGAGTTCAGGAATATTATTTTCCATATACATCAAGAAGCTAATTAGATTATGCAGTAATTACCCGACAATTGTTGAACACGTGGGTAAAGTTTTCTAGTATGAAGAATTATATAGGCCTATAAGGGAATTACCGGTGAAGATGAACTTAAAATTTTAGGTTTATCAGACTAGTAATGATGGCATGTGACGCAAAGTTCACTCACAAAGTGACGCAAAGTTCACTCACTAAGTGACGCAAAGTTCACTCAGAAAGTGACGCAAAGTTCACTCACTAAGTGACGCAAAGTTCACTCACTAAGTGACGCAAAGTTCACTCACTAAGTGACGCAAAGTTCACTCACTAAGTGACGCAAAGTTCACTCACTAAGTGACGCAAAGTTCATTCACAAAGTGACGCAAAGTTCACTCACTAAGTGACGCAAAGTTCACTCACTAAGTGACGCAAAGTTCACTCACTAAGTGACGCAGTTCACTAAGTTCATCATTTACTCTCTACCATAACTACACCTCTCATTCTCCACCATAACTACACCCTCACTCACCACCATAACTACACCCTCACTCACCACCATAACTACACACCCTCACTCACCACCATAACTACACACCCTCACTCACCACCATAACTACACCCTCACTCACCACCATAACTACACCCTCACTCACCACCATAACTACACCCTCACTCACCACCATAACTACACCCTCACTCACCACCATAACTACACCCTCACTCACCACCATAACTACACCCTCACTCACCACCATAACTACACCCTCACTCACCACCATAACTACACCCTCACTCACCACCATAACTACACCTCTCACTCACCACCATAACTACACCCTCACTCACCACCATAACTACACCCTCACTCTATACCATAACTACACCCTCACTCACCACCATAACTACACCCTCACTCTATACCATAACTACACCCTCACTCACCACCATAACTACACCCTCACTCTATACCATAACTACACCCTCACTCTCCACCATAACTACACCTCTCACTCACCACCATAACTACACACCCTCACTCCACCATAACTACACACCCTCACTCCACCATAACTACACCCCTCACCACCATAACTACAATCTCACTCTACACCATAACTACACCCTCACTCTCTACCATAACTACACCCCTCACCACCATAACTACACACCCTCACTCCACCATAACTACACACCCTCACTCCACCATAACTACACCCCTCACCACCATAACTACAATCTCACTCTACACCATAACTACACCCTCACTCTCTACCATAACTACACCCCTCACCACCATAACTACACACCCTCACTCCACCATAACTACACACCCTCACTCCACCATAACTACACCCCTCACCACCATAACTACAATCTCACTCTACACCATAACTACACCCTCACTCTCCACCATAACTACACCCTCACTCACCACCATAACTACACCCTCACTCACCACCATAACTACACCCTCACTCACCACCATAACTACACCCTCACTCTCCACCATAACTACACCCTCACTCTCTACCATAACTACACCCTCACTCTCCACCATAACTACACCCTCACTCTCCACCATAACTACACCCTCACTCACCACCATAACTACACCCTCACTCACCACCATAACTACACCCTCACTCACCACCATAACTACACCCTCACTCTCCACCATAACTACACCCTCACTCTATACCATAACTA